GGGGGGGGGTGGGGGGGGGGGGTCCGCGGGGCCTCCCCCGGATACTTTTAGAAATTTTAACCCTATTTGAGCGCATCTCGAGGCACTTGTGGCGCTAATCTTCCTTCAATTTCTGCCTAAGAATCATCCAGTTTCATGCATTTTAAGGTTAAAATACTTTGAAATTGTTGCATTCAACAGGTTATTCTATTTATAGGCATCCTCTCACGGGCCACGGCGACAGAGATTACCGTTGAAGAAGGTGTTTTTGCACCATACAGAATTTCTGGGGGGGGGGGGCGGGGGCAGATGATACTATTTCCAATTCTAGGGGGGGCAGGCCCCCCTTGCCCCCCTTCCTACGCCTCTGTTTCTGGTCAAATTTCGAAAATTCGAAAATCCAAGATGGCGGATGAGGCCTAAAATGCTATCTCGGCTCTTGTTCGATCGATCTTGCTGATTTTTGGTTCGAGGGGGTATTTTTAGACGGGAAACTCAAATTCCTAGCCGAATTTCGAAAATTTGAAATTTTTTCAAATTTTGACAGTGAGCTTGTTCAGTAATTTTTGATTTTTGTATTTTTTGAAGTATTTATTACTCATAAGCCACAAGAATTTTAGCCGATATTTTTCGAATTTCAATCCGCGAAAAACAAGTTTGAGATTGCATCCTCTGAGCGCCCCTTTAAACGCGTGTCTCCAAGGAATGAAAGATCCCCTAAGTAAGGCCATTTTCGGCCACATCCACCATTTTGGATTTTCGAATTTGTTAAATTAGACCAAATATTCGAGTTTCCCGTCCCTATATACTCTTTGGAACCAAGATTCACCACGATAGATCGCGCACGAGCCGGAATAGCATTGTAGGCCACATCCACTATAATGGATTCTCGAATGTTCAAAATTTGACCAGAAATTTTAGTTTCTCGTCCAAAAATACCTCCTGATACCAAAAATCAGCGAGATCGATCGAACAGGAGCCGAGATAGCATTTTAGGCCACATCCGCCATCTTGCATTTTCGAATTTTGAAAATTTGATCAAAAATTCAAGTTTCTCGTCCACAAATACCGCCTGATACTACAAATCAGCAAGATCGATCGAACAAGAGCCGAGATAGCACTTCAGGCCACATCACTAATCTTGGATTTTCGAATTTTCAAAATTTCACGATTCACGGATTGGTTGACCGATTCACGGGTTTATCGACCAATTCACGGATTTTTCGAACAAATCACGGGGTTGTCAATCATTTCGCAGGTTTTTGATCGATTCACGGTCGTCAATCGAATCAGTGCCGATTGAATCACGTCAATCGGTTCACGTTCCAACTTCTCGATCGATTCATGTCGGATTTATGACACCGGTTTTTTAATAATTTGTCGATCGAGTCGGTGCCGATCGATTCACGCTTTCTTTTTTCAATCGATTCATGTCAATCAAATCTATAAACCCTCCCGTCCAAATTGCATGTTAATATCTGCCACCATTCTCGAAATATTAGCAAGTATGTAGGTAGGTATCCTTATTTTTGGCACAGCCTGTTTACGAGGAAGGGGTGTTTTTTCTGTTGGGGTTAACCCTCCAGTGTGTAATAGTGACACCAGGGTCGTCTCCCCTATGCAGTCAGTGCTAAAACAATCTACATATAGTTCCTAATTGCAAAATGAGCTTCCCCGGATTCTTCATTTTGCAATAAGGAACTATAGCCTTTTTTTGCAATTTTTGGCAACAGTGTGATGTTTCCGAAGAATCTGTCAACACAGGGTGTTAAAGGAACTCCATAGCTATAAAATGAACGATCAAACTGCAACATTGATCGTTTTGAAGAAAAACGCCAATGGTTTTTGTAAAAGTTGCTCTCCTGAAAACCTACCGTACTGCCTATAGTTCCGAATTGCAAAATGCTATCCAAATATCGCAACTCAGGGTTCGACTTTCCTTTATTACAAAGCATGTAAGCAGTGTCCAAACCAAGACGAATTTTTACGTTCTGTGAAAAGTCATTTTTATCCGTTTGTCAGCTTTTAGATAAGTCCAAGAAAACTTTATTACGACGCTCGATTCGCCTGCTATAGCAAAAGTCCGGTTGCTTTTGGGCCAGCCCTCGTACTGCAATACTGATTATTTCCTAATTAATTTAATTTTTTTCCCCCTGGGAAAAAATCCACCTCTTCAGATTTTTCTCATTCTTCTTTACCAGACAAAATATTAACTTCAAATGGTGATATTGATGTCAGATTTTTATCTCATAAAGAAGGCTGAAGGCCATGTAAAAGTCTAAATGCTTGCGTTCTGCAAAATTAACACAATGAAGGACCTTGGAATGGTTTATTAGAGCTCCAACGAAACTGAGATTGGTTTTCCTTGTTCCCTTGTTCAGAGAAGATAGTGTTAGCTAAGATCGGCTCAACTGAGCGTAACCTTGCTTAATTTCCTCCAATGTTTCGATTTTGATAAGAACCCAAAAACCGGACCACAGAATGCCTAGAAATTTTTAATTACCAGAATTTCCTTGAAAGGCGGAGAAAATAGGTCCTCTCATAATTTCATTGCAGATAGGGTTACCTACCAAAGAATTCAGAAAATGAGATTTCCTGCCACAGTTCGTTAAAATTTCCTGATGTTTGGAGAGCCAGATGTTAAAAGACATAATTTGAAGCAGTTTTCACCCAAAACTTGTTGTTCGAAACCCCACACCCATTCTGGGACACAAATAATGGTAATTAACAATGTTTCCTTGCTACTTTCATTATTTCCCTGACATTTCAAGGGTTTCCCTGACTTTAAAAAAATTCCCAAACAGTTCCTGATACTCCCTGATGGTAGCGACCCTGATCCTTCTTGGTTCTATTCTTTTTCATACATCCTTCTTTTTTCAAATTACAAGGATGACAAAAATGTATTAGAAAACTGTGAAGCATAAAGATGACTTCGAATTATGTGCCTGATAATTTTACTTCTTCCTCGAAATCACAAGTGGACAGAACTAAACAGGAAGAAATCGAGCTATTTTTTTTTAGAGGGGGGGGGGGTCGAATTTGGAGTCATTTTGAACCTAAAAGTTGAGCATTTTCTGGCACTTGAATTCAAGTGGAAAAAATATAATTAGAAAAAGAAAAAAATGAAATTTCTTGTTCACAATTTTAACTTAACATTCCTTCGTACTTTCCTGCTGAATTCTCAATCACAGATTGAAATCAATGAGCATAGATTCCCTAAGAAGAGGACAAAGGTTGTCTAGGCTAGAATATGCATCTAAAGACAAGGTTTCTTTGCTGTAAGAGCAGATGGTACGGATATACACTCAAAATGATCATATTAATCGAATATCTCTTCCCTTTTATTTGCACCTTATCTCTTTGTAATTGAGGCCGTGGCTTTAATAACCACCTAGGTATAGCGGAAGATGTAACTGTGAGAAAATCGCAATTGAAGTTTTAATTACGAGATGCGTCGCTGAGTTTGCGCAGTTGAAAAATTGCAGAAACATTTTTTTGTAATTGGTTATACTCTTTGAATAATCTGCTATGCGTTTGTGGAAAATATTTCAGTTCTCACTTTAAAGTTGATGATTTAAAACATGCTGTTTTAGGAGATTATTCCCCCAACACCTAGTTTTGAGGTAAAATGGCTCATTAATTCTTTGAAAATGACAATCAGTGCTTTGCGACAGTCATAGAATGTCACGTAACGAAAAAATGAAGCGGCCCTGTGACGTTGATAAAGCACATGATTGCAAGAATGGGCATAAAAACATTGATATGCGCATGGGTAAGCGTTTATAGGTGGTTATTCTACCCAACACCAAGTCTCAAGATAAAATGACCATTAATTTTATTGAAAACACACATTGATGCTTTATAACCGTCACATAACACCAAGTGACATAAATAGGCTGAATGGCACCGATGCTTGAATAGGTGGTTATTCCGTCCACCCGCCGGTTCGTCTGACACCACTGCACTAAGAGTGGATTCTTCAACCGAGTAATCAAGAGATCAACTTGCCATCACATACAGGTGATTACTCATGCCATGACCTTAATTGCTTTTTTAACAGGAAATAATAGGTTGTGTTCTAGGTAAAGATTAATTTCTAAAAATAAGGTTTTAGATGTTACATGTAAGCTATTTGACACACTGATAAAACAGTTAAAAGTCATGTTTCAGAACATTCCATACTTTTGTAATTTTTCCAGACTTCCTTCAGAGAGATATTAGTTACTTACTATTCAAAGAGTCAGTATTAGACAATAACTGATTACCTCGCAGACCTTTGTTAGAAATTAGAGCTTAATTTCTTAAGAGCAGGAATACTTGTTTTAAAAATACATGATTCAACTAATAAGAGGAACATTTTATTCATAATAAATAAGACAAGGAGTCATCAAAATTTCAACACTTTAACTGTACAAAAACTATAAATAGATGTGTGGTAATGTGTAAAAAGGAGTCATTGACTTATCACTCCAGTCATTCAAAATTATATATTCAGGAAAAATAAAAAAGAAGAGTGATTTCACCACAACAGTACAAGAGTGAATGATTGTACAGAAGAATAAAAGTGAAACAAAATCACTTAAATTCTAAAATCAGCAATGATAACAGTGATCTATGATCAATCAACTCATCTTCCAGTCTAATCACCCGCTTTCCAATTGATACTGTTGATTGATCAAAAACTATATTTGATTCAAGTGGTGCATTGGAGCATGAGGTGAGTGCTAAAGAGCCTATTTACAAAAGAGAGTACATCAAAAATATTTATACTTCATAGAAGATTTGCGACAACAAAAAAGGAATCGGATAACAATATAATGGTATGTATACAGGAAGGCCTCACACTTGCTGAGCAGGTTACTTCTTGCTGAGAGCCATCCCTAGCCCGACAATGCTTCCAAGTGCCAGAACTACTCCACTGATGATAGCAATCCCTTTGATGCCTTCTTTACAGACAGAAAAGAAAAAGAATCGTGATTAAGTGAGGAATAGTGACACAGGTGGGAGATTTTAAGGGAAATACTAATGATGTTAAAAACCATTTCCATGATTTAAACTGTAGTATCAGTAGTTGCTTTGATGTTCAATGAAGAAGAGATTTTGGTGAGTGGACTACTAGATTTTATTCTTCTGACTGTAAATACTGTGTCAAACCGAATACATGTGTTTCATGCTGTTAAATACAATAATACCAGGGAGCGTTAGCATTTGAAATTGCTTGAAGAATTCTCTGCAACATTCGTCTTTCTTTAATCGAAACATTGTTCTAATCGCTCTTTTTTGTAGGATTAATATTTCATCAAGCCTTTTTTTCTGATGTATTTGACCACGTGTTAATACAGTAGTTTAAGTGTGATTCAAATAGTGCATGATATGCAATCAAAAGCGTTTTGTTTTCACAGAATTCGCTCAGTACTCTTAGCATGAATATCGATGAATGCAGTTTGTTTTTTATTTTACTTTCTTGCATTTCAAAGTTGAGTTTTTTGTCAAGGTAAATTCCTAAACACATAATTTAATACATTTTCTTCACCTTGTTTTCTTCCATTTGCAAGGATGTTAAAATTGTAGCATGATTGCATTCTTTTTTGAATTGGCATGAATTTAGTTTTATCTTCGTTGAAAAATAATGAGTTCATTTTGAATCATTTCATTAAAAAAAACTCATTAAGTTGGCATCAATTTCTAGATTTTCCATTGTTTTACTGCTTATGACGAGTACTATGTCATCAGCGAAGAGTAAGACCAAAAAAATTGACATAGGCGTATCAATGTTTATCTTTTTACCAAGAAACTCTGAAATACATATCATTCATGAACTTTATAGAGAGGATGGCTGCTAATACGGTGCCTTGTGGAACTCTACCTGGGACCAGTTTGCTTTTGGACCTATACTTATTTTTAACTACTCCAATTTCAACATATTGATATCTATCATTTAAATAGCTTTTTAGCCATTCACAAAGGCTTCCGCTAAATCCAATAAGTTTTAATTTGTATAATAATAGATCGAATCTTACCGTATCAAATGCTTTTTTTTATTTATTGCTACAATCACAGAGTTTGCTTTTTTGTTACGTATCAAAGTCTCATGACATTTTCTAAATGCATCTCCTGCACTTAACGACTCCCTAAAACCATATTGGTGCTTGTGCAGTATTTTATTCCGATTTAAGAGGCTTACAATTGCTTTTATCACCACCTTTTCAACAATTTTCGATACTGATGATACTATAGACAGAGGCCCATAATTATTTGCACTATCTCTCGGCCCATTTTTATATAGTGGAGATACTTAACTAATTTTTAGTTTTTTAGGAAAATCTATATTTTCAAATGAGTTATCAATGAAATGAGTGAGAAGTGGAGTAAGCTCGGGCTTCAACATTTTTACCATTTCATTACTCAGACCATCATGGCTCTCTGGTTTCTTATTCTAAAGCTCATCTATTGCTTGTTCTACGTTACATTCGTATATTTTACATAGTTTGAAGGTTTTAATAGCTCTTGCAATGTTGGCAAAGTTATTTTTATTGATTACTTCATTATGAGATTTACCCATTTTGGAGGCCAAGTATTTATTGAGTACTTCTGCAATTTGGGTTTGATCAGTGTATGTTTTAGTACCATGATCAATTTTCTCAATCTTCCTATCCATTGCCATTGATTAAGTACAGGCCACGCTATCTTTACTATATTTACTGATTAATCAATTCTACGTTCCATACATCTAGCTGTTTCCTTCAATATGAATTCTTTATATGTAGTTTGACTTCAGATTTTTCAGTTCTCTTTTTTATTTCCTACATCTTACAATGTCGACATTTGGATTTCGTTTCATTTTCTCCATTTTACTACAAATTCTTTTGACTTTAATATGATGGGTATCTCTTTTGTCTCTACTTACACTCCATTCCTTGGATAAATACTTCTTGAATTTCTGGAGGAAGTGAAGGTTATGTTGGTGCTGTATTAAGTTCAAAAGATACTCTGTAGCCTTGTCATGGATGGATTCATTCAGCTCATGGATGCTTCTACTACGCGCTAGTGTTGCTCTTGGATTATTATAATCTATACTATAAGCTCCGAGACCTCCTAATTTTGCACAACTAGTAACGCTCAAATCCAGCGTTCTACCAAGCCGATTCTCATGATTTTTGCGGCTATCGAAGGGCAATTGTCTCTAGATAAGCCAATTTTATTTAGATTTTCAAAATATGACCCAGTTTTTTTTATATTACGTGGTAAAGTTGCGAATTCTCCCATTTAAACAATGTAAATTTATATTTTTTGTCGTAGTTCGTTTGAGCTTTCTACTATGCCGATTTCCATGATTTTTGCGGTTATCAACAGGTAATTGGCCCTAGATGAGCCCGCTCTAATCAGATTTTGGAAATAGAACCCAGGTTTTTTTACAATCACGTTACAAAAGTGAGCGAATTTACAGATTGCTACAGAACTGCTGTCGCTATGCGCAGGAGGTTGCGCAGTGTCCGAGGAGGTTGCGCAGTGGCTGAGTAGCCTGCGCATCAGCTCTACTTATCGACACAAGATTCGCCCTTGATATCTCACGATGAGCGGTGGCCGAGTCGTCTAAGATGTCAGAGACACCCACATTTTTCAAGATGTGGGTTCGATTTCTGACTCCTCAGATACTTTTAATTAAGACCTGATTATCTTTATTCGTTGTTTTACTGCAATGTTTCATTAATTAGTCATTGAAAAACGCGTTATTTTGACTTCAAAAAAAATTTTTTTTCTTTATTCATCAAAAACAAAAATCATTTCACTCTACAAGTAGAGTATACTTCATATCGTAATTTTTTAGGGGAAAAATAAAATCAACATTAATAGGAGGGTAAAAATAGGGCCTCAAAGCGGCCCATTGATGGCGCAGAGCGTCCTCAGAGGGTTGACGCCCCCTAGTTTCTAATAAAGTAGCCATCTGTTTGTTTTTGTTCTTTTTTCCCCTTGCTATTAACTTAGATTCGATTGCAAAGTGATCAGAGAGAGCATTTACAATGACATTTGATTGAAAGAAATTTTAAGGCTTTGTAAAAACATTGTCAATTTAGAAGCACTACTTTCAGAGACTCTAGTGAGCTGAGTGACAGTGTGTACACATTTAATTTCTTTCATTGTATTTAAGAAATTCTTTACATTATCACAGTCACAGCCAAGTTCTAAATTTATATTGAAGTCACCGGTTAAGATTAGTTTTTCGTTAGGATCTGTGTTCCTGAATAATTCACTTAGTTTTTCTATGAATATATTAACATTGCCAGTCGGCGGTCTAAATATGATAATTATTGTGATTTTTAGTGTTGGCAGGATGCAAGATGAGTATTCAAAGGTTTTTTCTTCAAATATATCTTCAATTGGTCGTTTTACGATTGCCTTTAGATTTTAGATAAGAACTCCTTCTCCTTTGATTTCCTTTCTACAAAATGATGATATGATCACATAGTCTGGGTGAATTTTCAACTGATCTACTTTTTTTTGTTTTAGACCATGTTCACAGAAACATATTACATGGGGTGACTCTTCAAAGATCAAGTTAGAAGTTAGTTCTTTTTTTTTTTCTCGTAGATATTGTATATTTTGATAAATTTTTGCTTTAGCATAAAGTCTGTTGGATGCAGGGTTCTCATCGCAACTTAATTTGAAGTGGTTTAAGGTGGATGCAGCCTCCCTTATTTGAGGATATACTAAGTTTTGGAGGCTGACTCTTCTCGAACTATTGGAAAATTTTAACTTGATATTATATTCGAGTTTAGTTGCACTTCAGCGTTTGAGTTTGTAGTTATTCTGCAATTAATGGACAATCTATTTTCCGTGAGTTTTAGTCTGCATTCTTGTTGAGCTATTATTTCAGCCTTAATAAAATATAAAAAAAATTGTTTGTCAGAATCGTTCAGGTCATTAACTTCTCGTTGATCACTGCTAGGTGAAAATTATTGTTCATCAGAATATACTGACTACTTAAAAGTCAATTACAAGGAGCAGCAATTTACTAATTCATCATAAAAAACTGCAGAATTGTGACGTGGAAAACTGACAATGACATGAATGAAGTTAGTACCACTACTAACGGTGTCCATGGCATTGAAGATTTCATGGAAGAGATTAGTTTCGTCAAATAACCATTTTCCCACTTTCAAATATTTTGATAATAGGGTTAAGAGGAATAGCTAACACCCCTCAAAAGAAATGTAGAGCCATGGTTTTGACATGAAAAATAGAGACTATGATCGAAGTAATGTTCTGTATACATTTTGTTTTTATAGCAGGTACTTTTTTTTAATAGTTTAAGCTCCTAGTCGGGGTGTTTTTCTCTGGCACATGAGAATATATATCAGAATATATGACTCAATGGTAGAGTAATCTAACTACATTGTAGCTTCATAATGATTCAGAAAATTATTCATTCAGTTTTCAATTTCGAAAGTGGGTAAGCTTTGATGTTTTAATAAATGCAAAACATATTTCTGCAGTATTTAAGGAGAGGATTTATCTTCAATCAAGGAGGATAAAACTGCGCAATCTGAAACAGAATTGTCATTTTATGTTGAGCAGTATTCTTCATTTCATGAAGAAAAATACTTCCAATTGATTGAGTAGGAAGTTGAAAAATAAATTAAGTCAAAGCTTCTGGCAAAATTGAAAATGCTTTTATCTACATAATAAAGCATGATTTTTAGTGAATGAATCACTGGCATGATCATTTTTGTAGGCCTAAATAAGTTCTCTGTTCCCTCACTTGTTACTAAAATCCAACTGAAGAGTAACCACCAATCAGGCTGAAAAAGTAACTGAGAATACCAGTCCATCAACGCTTGGATTGGCCCATCCATTTTAGTTTCTTTTTTATCTTGTGAAGATAACAGAATAGTCTGAAAAATTACTCTGAACATTGATTGGTCCACCGAGATTTTCCGCGGTGTTCCTTTCGGCCTCCGTTCTTGGCACTACCTCAATATTTTAGTTCACATTAACCGTAAGACTGGATCTAATTAGGAACAATAAAAGGATGTCACCGGGCAAGAAAAATTGGGTAATTTTGGTAAAAAATTTCAAATGAGAAAAAACTTACATACACTAAAAAAAAACTCAGTGCTCATACCTATTAGGGGGGGGGGGCTGTTTCTCCCAATAGTTATTCATAATTTCTGAAAATGTAATGCATAACTTCTGAGAATGTTAAAATACTGAGTTTCATCTGACAGGCTTATGAACTGTACATGAGACACAACACAATATGATGTATACCTCTTGAGAAATTTGAATATGTAATGTTACTCAAAGTGACAGAGTAAACAAAGATATTAAAAAAAAAAAAAAAAAAAAAAAAAAAAAAAAAAAAAAAAAATAATAATTTAACATCTTCTGACAAAATATTAAGAGCAATTGACATTGATTCTTTCATCTCAAATTCTACTCCTACTATGGCATTTTGACAATATTTTTGGGCAGGTTATATCTTACACATCAAGCGACTACTTGGACTAATTGAAGTAGAAACTCAAGTTCAGGAGAAAAGAAATAATTTGCTAAAAGGGCGAGTTACCTTGGATTTCGGCTTTGAAAAAGCATGGAAAAAAAAGAGAGAAAAATTACCATAAATATTTCCAACTTAAATGTTGCAATCTTACATGAGATGCACCATGCAACATCGGTATTTTTGGCACCACAACGGTATTGCGCCAAATTCCTAAGGCTGATAGGCCATTATCCGAGGGGCCTAAAAATCGTCCGGTTTCTGCTTCAACTTTCAACTTCTTGTTTAAAGGAACTGGAAAGCTGAGAATGAAAGTTAAATTCTTCAAGTGCCCATAACTTTTGAGCGGTTACAGTTTTGGCAAATTTTTAATTGATACTGAATTCAGCGTAAATAAGTCTATCTGAAGTTATAGACCTTGAACAAAAGTTGATTTTTGAGCTAGTTATGGAGAGTTCTTGTCATTCACCCTTATTTTACCTCTTGAGAATTGTGTCCCTGTAACTTTGAGCATTTTGTTTAAAGCTACAGGGTCAAGATTCTCAAAAAAAGAAGAAGAAAAAACTCAGAGAAAACAAGATTAAATGACTAAAAATCCCCATAACTTGTTCAAAGATCAACTATTTTTCAAATCCTATACTTTCAATTGATAGTGGTTTTTTACACTGAATCCATTTCAAAAAGAGAAAATCACTGAGTTTCACTCCCCCTAGGGTTTAGGGCAAAAACCCAACCATTTTTAGGTCCCTTGGATTATCCTCATACCTGGGGATTTAGTGCGAAATCAAAGGAGAGTTAAAAATGCCCGTTTTGGATAGTATCCTTAGCATCCCACTACTGAAGTTCAGCAGACTGACTAAGCAATCAGCTACAGTACTAAACAATATTTAAAACCATGAAAATAAATGGCAGTCGAAGTTGAATTATTCCACCTAGAAACAATTTGAAAGAAAATGTTCTGAAAATTGTAGAAATTGAGTATTGCTTCAGTTAAGCACTAAAGGAAGGGAAGCAGAGAGGGAGAGGGGGAGAGAGAGAGGGAGAGAGGGAGAGAAAAAAATTTGGAACACTAATAGTTGCTACTTTCTATGGGGTAACCTGCCACCTTACCTGCACACCGAGAAATTTATCTAACCTTAAATGACTAGGAGTTATTCATACCTATGCTTGTTATCAAGCTCTCTGGGCAGCTTGTTCTGAAATAGTGTCAGGAACAGCTGGCTCTACATATAAGAGCTGATGTACAAGGCAATGCCTCATTTTTGACAACTCTGCAAACTCCTATGGCTCTCAGTGAAGGTCTTTATATTGTTACTAATTTTTACCTGAATTGTTTAAATAGCCTGCCAAAAAATTATTTGAACACCTCTGACAGCAAGATAATAATAAACACATCCAAAAAAAAAGAAGGTTCAGAGCTCAAGACCTTTAGTGAGAGGTTAACTTCTGCCGAACTTACCAAAATTTTGAAAAATTGAACCAGAATTGACTAAAGATATTCTCATTTAAAACAAATATTTTCATCAGGTCAGACGAGAGCACAATTCCAGCCTTCTAGGAACAGATGTTGGACTTTAATAATTTTTGGCTACGCCGTTATAACCATTAGTCTGATGTCCAAATAGTGAAGAATTATTGCTTTAACACGAGGATAAGGTAAGAAAAAAGTTTCGCTACAAAACGAACCAAAGAAGTGTAAACTCAAAAGAAACCAAGAGAGACAGCAAATGTTTCAGGGTGTAAAGAGGTAGACTTCCCTATTCAACTGAAAAGGTAGAAGATATTTAAAATTAAGTATAAAAGTTTGAGAAGATTAACTATCATATAGGCAAAAAATTTGAAGTATTTCATTGGAGAAAATGTAGCTACAAGAATGATTCTATTTTTTTTTTTAATAGGAGTAGGCCTACTTAAAAAGCTACACAGTGGTCAGTCCACACTGAATATGATAAAAACCAATCTTGTGAGTTTAAGAGCAAGGTCCCACTGTGGGGTGCACGATTGCAGTTATTGAAGCTTAGGCCCCTAGGCCTGGGGGGCACCTCTGCTGCTGCTGTTACTGCTACAACTACCACTACCACTACCGTTACCACTAGCACTACTACTACTACTACCACTACTAAACGGCTGCACCAACATCTCGTATTTTAAAATTTCTATCATGAATCAATGATGAAGAGCGATGAACAATCTAAATTTTCGACAAAAGGCATTACTTAAATCCAGGGGATTTCAAACAGCTTAATTCGATAAGCAGCTCTACTTTACAGTCGCTAGCAAAGTCAAAACATATTGATGGGGGGAGAGGGGCAATAAGAGCAGAAAATTGCAAGAAATGAATTCTTTTCAGAAAATTCCCCAAATACAACTCTTTTTTTTTTTCTTCTCCTTTTTTCGAAGTGGTTATTCGGCGGTGCGTTCGAATAAAACGTTATTCGGCGGTACGGTACTGTCGAATAGGATGTTATTTAGCGGTACAGTACCCTGACTAGAAATTCTTCTAAGTATCGCTAAGGTGCTTTTACTGGATAACTTTAAGACCGCTAACCGAAAAAGTTTCTACCGCTCTAGTGTCTTTACCGGATGACCTCTTAATCGCTAACCGGAAAACTTCCTACCACTAAGGAGCCTTTACCGAATGACTTTTTAACCGCTGACCGGAAAACTTCCTCCTGCTAAGGTGCCTTTACCGGATGACTTTCTAACCACTAACCAGAAACTTTCCTACCGCTAAGGTGCCAACAGTAGGTATGCATGCTGCAGGTAACATCATAATGCTAGGTACTTCAGGCCGAATGTAAATGTACTTAGGTAATTCAGTGCTTCGATGCTCACGTAAACTCTAATTGTTCTCCGCACGCACTTCAAAATTTCTGCAGATAAATGCACCTGAAAAACTTACGAATATTACATTGCTATTAAATGCAGTCAACAACTTGACGAAAACAAAACTGATCTCTGAGAAGGTGCAAAATTTTTACAGTAGTCCGAAACTACAAAGTTGGTTTCTGACGCAAAGTACTGGTCGGTCACTGATTTTTGCGCGTCCAAGATTTCCTTGTTTACATCATTTCTCCAGATAAGTAATACCAATGGATCACAATAGATGGGGTTTGCTTGCTCATCCTGTGGAAGCATCTTACCGGTAGGAAATTTTCCGGTTAGCCGTCATAAGGTTAACCGGTAAAGGCACCATAGCGATACTTAGGAGATTTGCTGGTCAGGGTACCGTACCGCCGAGTAAACCGTATTAATTTTACGTGTTGCCTCGCCTAAGGTTCCAGAGAGTGGGGCACAACTTTCATACTGACGTACGTAACAGCTCTTACTCATCCGTACAACAGATAAAAAAAGCATACTTAGTTGTACCTGGATTGACACAAGGTGAAAATTGACCGACATGTCACGTTTTGTAGCCTTTACATATTGAAGGCAGCTCTTTTGAGTGTTATTCGACCTTTAGTTACACTCCTGAGAGGTCGTCACATGTATTTTATCCATACGTTTCATTTTTGGGCATAAAAATGGCTTTTGAATAATTGTAAGAGGCCTCAGGGACCACTGTCGCCATTTTTGGCCAATTTCATGGTTTTTTTTTTCAATTTTACACGTCCCTATTAGCACATCTTGTAATATAATTCGTAAAAAAAATTAAAAGTGGTAAATTTTACAAGTACGAAAGATGTACGTGAAAGAACTTGTTAAAAATCAGAGTCTGAGAACTTTACGTAAAAAACTTGTAATCAAAGATGTAAAAGAAAATTGGGGGATTGAACTGAAATCTTTGAGTAAAAAATTCGCGATTTTTTAAGTACAGAAAATCAGGAAAAAAATTCAGAAATAAAAAAAATAAATATGTAAAAAATCATAGATTTTGTACCAAAAAAAAGGTCAGAAAGAAATTCAAAGAAGACAATTTTTTTTCGTTTTGAAACTACGATTTTACGATCAAAACTGTCATCACTGAATTTTTTTCTGACTTTTTGACGTAAAAAAACACGATTTTTCTTTTATACCTCTTCAAGCATCTATTTTTTATGTGAAAGTTTTCGGAACACCCAAAAAATTGGGGGAGAATGTCTGAACGGAAAATTCGCTAAATTGACCGAACAGGAGATGCCTTAGTAGTTTTTATTACAAGGAAATTAAGCAAAAAATTCTAATGTCCCCTAAAGATTTTTTGTAAAAAAAAATATAGCTCGAAAACTGGATACAAAAACACATTGTGCTGAATGAATAAACCAGAGTTTTAAAAAGTTCGCGAAGATTTTAATAACTTATCTTTATTAAAATAGTTAAGAAATTCTTATACAAATTGATGCATGTTAATAATATTTAAGAAGAGCAAAAGAAAAAAAAGGAGGACATATTATTAAAATGTTCATAATTTTTGTCACATATTCACGAACAACAAAGGTACTTTTGAAAGTAGGTATACCATCTTTAAAATATCCATGATAAACATTAATTTTTTCCCTTATCCAGTTTTTCGAAATTAAAAAAATAATTAGCAATTCGTTCTCATGCATATTCAACAATAAAAATATTCCTCTCATACAGCGCAAATTCGCCCCACTCAAACAGAAGCCACGTTTGCTCAGTAGGTAGCGCATTCGATTCCTGATAGGCAGGTCCCAGGTTCAATTCCTGACAGGTAGATAATAACTTGAAAGTTGAGCTCAAGGAGAATTAATTGATGACAGATCCAGACAGGTAAAAAGTCTATTTTTTTTTTACAATTAGCATTTTCATCAATTTTAGGAAGTAGGAGTTTTTTTGCGCATAACTTTTTACGTAAAGAAACTCAATCTTTTTATGTAAAGAATCTTCTACTCTTTAGGAATTATTCTTGTAAAAAAGACTACATCGGCATTTCACTTTAGGTCTTTTTTACGAATTTTTTTTGTTGTAAATTTTACGTCTGCGCTACTAGCGGTGTTAAACTTAATTCAACCTGAAAACCAGGTACATTTATGGAGATAACGTAAAAAATTATATCACTAAAGTTCTTTGTAACTTCTACTTACATTGCCAAATTTTCGAAAAAAATCGTCTTAAGGTGTCAAAGATTAGATTATCACGAAAGTGAAACATATTTTTTTCCATGATAGATATGTTATTTATAGTAAAACAAAACTTGAAATTCACATGTTACACACGATAATTATCATTCACTTCTTAAAACCTTTGACATGAAAATTAATCCAATTTTTGGCACTTTGGAACGATTTTCTCGAAAATTTGGCAACATGTGAAAAAGTTACACAAATGCGTTTATTCATTTTTTCCCGTTCCTTCCAAAAATATACACAGTTTTTAGTTTAAATTAAGTTTTTCTTAAGTGAAATTGAAAAAAACTAAAAATGGGTCAAAAATAGCAACAACGGACCTTGAGGCCCCTAAAAATTCATCGAAGGGCTTTCTAAAGGCCAGAAATGGATAGTACGCAAAAAAAGTATAAGGATGACCTCGTAAAGCTTGTCGGTGGCAAGGGAGGGGGTGTGCAGACGACTCCAAGCGCCTGGATTCCAGTTGGCGCGCGTGGAACGTAAACTTTGATAGCTCATATCTCTTGTACCAATCGTTTCCCTGGGAGGTATAATATATCAAAATGTGCGGAAAAGTACGGCAAATAAAATGAACAGCGTTTTGTTCGAATCGAGAATCCAGCATTTGACGATGTACTAGGGTCGAAAAAAGAATTGGCCCCTGAGAAAGAATGAAAAATGGCTGCAATCTCAAATTGCCTGAACAATCAAATTAACTTTATATTTCAAGAGAGCGCAATTTTTGAAGAATTGTAGCGCAAACCGCGTCTCAATATCTTTTTTCGTTCGAAAGATATGGAACTCAACAGTTGACAGCTTGGCAACGCTGCTACGCGGAAAGAAATACATTTTAGGCCTTGAAACTTTGGGGAAAGGTGTATGCTATGATGAGGAATGACAAATTGAAAATTGGTCAAAATACATGAGGGAGTTCTTGCCGATTTTGCATACACCCCTGTATCTTGCCATGTTGCGAAATGTGTAAACAAACTTTCTCCTAAATTATCCTTACATAGTCTAATGTTGAAAGTGCGGTTAAAAATATTAAAAAAAGTTATTTTCCAGCAAATACTTTTTTTTGATGATTTACCTTTCTCCATTTTTTTTCTTATCACTTCTTCGAGGGTCTTCACTTGAGCATTTCCTGGTTCAATTTCAAGGAATGCACTTGTATATTGTAATGCAGCAGAGAATTCCTAAGACAAAAAATCAGGGCTGTTTCAGCACTAAAACTTACACCAGACAGAACAGATTTAAAACAAATAAATAGGTACTGTAGAGAGTAGGAAAGTAGTTCTGTACCCCCTTCCCCCCCAAATAAAAAACAACAGTATACAGCATATGAGGACCTATCCGACCAAAGAGCATCCACGCGTATATGCTGTTTGCTCGGAAAATAGCAACAAAGATGACTCGTGTCCTGAATAAGGTACCATTTGAATTGCATGTCGATAGGTACAAAAAGATTGCAGGTATGATTTTTTTGAGCTAAAAGGTTGACCTTTCGGTGCATTTCCGGGCGAACGGCATAAATGCATTTTATGCCTTAGCTCGAAAATTTTATTCACAGTGCATCAGACCAAGGTATAAAATAACCGGTTTACGTTTTTTGGTACTTCTAACCCAAAGGAATCATTTTTATGGGAGGGGGGGGGGGCGCAATTCCCATAAATAAATACTCGGAGAAAACCCCAATTTTACTGCGAAGTTGTCCGTTTATACAACAGTTTTGGAGCTAAGAGCCCAAGAAGTTATCTATTTTTGATATCCCCTGGTAGCACAGCTCGGATCGGTAAGGTTTTAGAAACATTCCACTTGTGTCGAAACTGATTCATCTCGATGAAACATATTAGAAACATTTCAGAAATGTTTCAATGACGCAAATACTTTGAACATTTCATTGAAACTTATCCAAAACATTTTGAAAATGTTTTCAAGTTGGATACATTTAACACAACAGAAATGTTTTGAAAACCAATCCAAAACATTTTACAAAAGAAAAATTTGGAGGGGAAATGAAATGTTTTAAAAACATTTTGAAGACAAAGTTGAGAGTCATGTAAAATATTTCATCAGAGACAACATGTTTTGAACACGGTTTAAAAATATTTTCATTTCATCTTACAGAAACGTGAAAACAACGTTTTTAAAATGTGTTCAAAAGGTTTTCAAATTGTTCTACTATCACTTTTTAAAAACGTTTTCAACACATCTCCAACATGTTCTCAGATACTTCTAATTTCGAAGTGTTTGGTGAAATGTTTTGGAAATATTCTGAAAATGTTTCAAATTAATCTACAGATTGTTTCAAGCAACTTTTCAAAGTACTGTCAGATACTTTTCCTGCACGGCTTGCAACGACACCTTCCTGGAACCTATCTGACACATTTTAGATATGTTTTCAATTATTAATAAATATTACTGATTGGTGTGGTATATCTCCAACTCATTTTCAAAACGTTTTAATTCTCTTTCCGATCAGCATCCTCAATTCATTTCAAAACGTTTTGAATATAAATCGAACCAGTGTCGCTGAAGTTTTAGAAAAATGTTTTCAACACATCTCCAACACGTTCTCAGAAACTTCCAATTTCGAAGTGTTTGGTGAAATGTTTTCGAAATATTTTGAAAATGTTTCGAATGCAATCTACAGCTTGTTTCAAGCAACTTCTCAAAGTGCTGTCAGATACTTTTCCTGCACGACTCAACAACACCTCCCAGCAACCTATCTGACACATTTTGGATTTGTTTTCAATTAAAAATAAATATAATGTCTTTCAAACCTTTTTGAATATTTTGTTCGAATTTATACGTCACTTAAAAATGTTTTTGACACGTTTTAGAAATGTTTCATTGAATAACATAGAAACATTTCTAGGACCTTTCTAAAACTTTTCCTACCTAGTTCAAACTGAATCCACCAGAGGGCGTTGAAGTTTAATTTTTCAATTGTACCAAATTTCAGCTTAATTTTTCGTCTCAAGCTATACTTTTTGGACATTTAATTATGTGGAGGTTATTAACACGGTTAATTCCTTGTATGAATCGAGTTCATCTCCATAAAAGCTCATAAGTTATGGATTATCTAGAATATTGAAACCGTACATCGTGCTTTGCGTATACTTTTCTAAAGTGAAGGTGTTCTAATCCCTCTGATAGGTTGATAATGATGAAGTGTAACGATTCAGCCCTTATGCATGGTTGGTATCAAGGGATGTCTGCTGTGATGGTTCTAATTCCACAGCGACATTAGTTAGAACAAATGTCTGAAAATTTTTGATACTTATAGCCTCGGTGCCGATACCTCTCTGAGATGTGTTGAAAAGGTATGAGAAACATCTATCGGACGGATCTGTGAGACGAAATTTAGGGGTGACAAAGAGTTGTTTTAGAAACCTTCTCAAAACCGTCGGGACACACGATATGTTTTCAAGATGTTTCAACAAACCACTGAAAGGTTTTGAAAACATTTTTGAAGCGTTTCGACGATACAAAGGAATGTCATGCCTCTCACCGAAATGTTTCAAGAATGTGTCAGATATATCTCTGCGACGAATTTGTGGTGCCGATAGGTACCTCACTGAGATGTGTTGTAAAGGTATGAGAAACATCTATCGGACGTATCTGTGAAACAAAATTTAGGGGTGACATAGAGTTGTTTTAGAAACCTTTTCAAAACCGTCTGGACACATGATATGTTTTCAAGATGTTTCATTGAAATGTTTTAAAGAAATTTTTTCGGATCAATGACACATTTTAAAAACATCTTCAATCTGACCTGTGCTACCAGGGTCATGAAAACATATACTTGCATCAACTCATGTTGCACACATTAAGGCTTTCCTTTCAGAAACACCACATTTTCGAGGGAACAGTATGTTACTTGACTTTAAAAATGAATCTTTGCAGACCAGAAATAACATTTTATAATTCTGATTTGAAAGGAAGTCAGTCTACGGGAATAAAATTGATAGAAGGAAACCATTTCTGGTTTAGTTTCGACGCCACACCGGAACCTGAGAATAAATAAAAACTTTAAAAAAGACTTTCTTAATCTTGCTTTTTTCGCCATAGAAGCTGTTCGGTCAGAGAGGTCCTCATATGCAAGTTGCTATGACTGAATGACTTCCTACTTATTTAATACAACCTTGGCCACACCTACAGCTCGCTCAATAAGGCAATTTGTAGGCTCCCAGATTGCATGTGGAACTGGAAAGTTCCAGTAATCAGTAACACTACATGGCTGGATGGATGAAAGGCATGCATACAAGTTATGGGTGGCATTGGGTGTTACAGATATGCTAGGTTGCAGAGTTTCACCCGAAGGTGTGTTTTTACCCCTCTCCTCCAAGCTGCTTTAAAGAAAGCCTTATGCGCAGTCTAAATTTTTTTACGTGTCTTGGATAACTTCAAAGAAATTTTTGCAAAAGGCCAAAACAAGCATTGTTAGAGAAATCGGAACAAAATTCTAAACTTCGGAAGCAGCATTTAAGAGTTAAAATAATCAAAAACAAGTTTTAAATCATCAATCAAATCATGTTCGTGTTGAAATCATGAGAACAACTTGGACGAACAACATGCAAAGGGAGGAAGTACTATAAGAAACAATAGAGTTAGAACGATATTTATAGGAAGCAGGAGAGAGGTTTTTGACACTTGAAAAAAATATGCCACTCTCAGGGACAGGTGAATAAGAGAAAATGAAACACAAAATTCTGAGCCTTACATAGTTTGAGAGTTGAATGTTTAGCCAGAATGACCTTTTTTCGTCTGTGGTTCTGTCTTAAATGCATCATCTTAAATGGACTGCATTTTGCAATTTGGAACTATAAATTCTGGCTCATCTGTAACAACACTTATAGGCATAGGGAAATTAATGGCACAAATGTTGTTTTTAAACCGGGCTAGAATTTATAGTTCCAAATTGCAAAATGTAGTCCAAATCATCATTAACACCTTCACTTCTTCCTGCTCAACATTGCAACATACTTCATTGAATCCAAATCCCAACAGCCCTTATTCAAGGGGTTAGAAAAGAAAAAGTTTGAAAAAAACAAGAGCAATTGAGAATTTAGTTAACAATATTTTAGGTACCTTAATTCTACAATTTCCAAGTGCTAAATAGTACAGATAGTCTCTCCTTTCATCCTCTGCATCTGCTGCACTTCTAAACAGCTCTTCCAGCAAAATGATGCCTTTACGAATGTCAACTGGAAATTTACTTCTCACCAGACACCAGGCATAGTTAAATTGTGCTTGACGTGTTACGCTACCCCCGTGCAACTGTTCATGATACACTTTCTCATACTTCTGTTGAATAATAATAATAATAATAATAAACAGTAATAATAATAATAATAATAATAATAATAATAATACATTACAAGACTGATTCGCAGTAGCTGAAGGCAAAGATACCTAGAAAGCAAAATGACAAGGGTGGATATTAAAGTGAGTTCACCGAAATGTAGTTTCCAAAACTTTCGATGCTGTGGTAAAAACCAAACCGGCGTAAAAACATGTTTGTATACTTTAAGCATTCTAACAAGCTATACTTCTTTTGAATGTTGTATTTGTGTTGCAGAGAAATCGTTTTAATTGGCTTGTGTAAAAACGTGCATTATCCAAAAAACCAACTACTGGTAAACCACAATATACGCAGGGGTGCACATTATTCTGGATGACGCGAAAATAATTGTGGAAGCTCTTGCCGATTTTACGGAAGCGTGATCACGAGATAAATTTTCGTGTGAAATTGTGGAGGCCTCCTAGATATTGTGGAAGCTTTTTCTTTTACTTTATCTATCTTCACTTCAACACATCGCAGAAAAATAGCGTCCTCAGAAGTATCAAGGTCCGGCTCAAAACATTGAAACCCACCTCAAAAAAGCTAATCCATTTGTTTTTCTGACGACTCCCTGATTACCTGTGGGAGGACCGGGTTTTGTGGTAGTTAGGCGTCGCAGAGCGCCTCTTATGTATGTATGCATTTGTTTTTCTACTTAGCTGTTTCTTCATGGACATGGTTTCTTATGCTTCAGAAAAAAGAAAAATAATTCTTGTCTAAAACTTACTACCCCCTCCCGATGAGTACCCTTTGGAAATGTTCAGTAAAACAAATTTTAATATCACAAAGAAGGGCTCAGCGTGCTCCAGATTTCGATTTTATTCTTTTTTTTTAAAAATTGAAAGTGCAATGTTTAAGAATTTTTTTGGCGGAGAGTTAGGTTTTGACACGGCAATTCCATTGGGCTGCTTTACTATTTATTTAAATCTAACACAACGGTGATCACTAATCTTTCTCCTATGTATGACCTTACATTCCTTGATTTTCCCAACTCTTCCCCACTGATAAAGAAGATCAATTTTAGAGGCACAATCCTTAACTACCCTCATAGGCTCCTCTACCATTTGCACCATCCTTAAACTATCAATCAACTTTTTCAATTTAATCCTACCCCAATCTTTATCTAATTCCCGCCTAACATTGAATACTCCGATAACTATCTCATCCTTAATAATTAGTTCCACTATATTACGGTGCCTCTCCTCAAAGCAGCCTCTCGCAGACGTCAACGTAAATAAACAGAGATTATGCATGATGCTTATGGATGCCTAAGGAAGAGCTTTACACATTCGAAAGGAGGATTCATATGGAGGAGGGGAAACAAGTCTACTTTATTCAATGAGATAATCACTTTAGTTACTTTTCTGAGGACTTTCTATGAAGTAGTATTTTTCTATGCAGTTCCACAGTGCATGAAAAATGGGCACTTTTGGAAGAGAGGGCAGGTGAGTAAATTCCATGATTTCTCTGCAGCTACATAGTAGACCAAATGTGAGAAGTATAGCTTGTTCGAACGCTGAGAGTGAGTATATTTTAAGGCTGATTCAGTTTTGACCCTTGCAATCATTGTTCATAAGGAGAAAAAAAGGATAAACTTACTTTCAGATCCACTCTTGAATGATTTTGTATGAACTTGTCCAGGGACCCAGAAAGTTCCTCGCCTTCACTTTTCTGGAGGTTGCCTCCATATTAGGTACTGTCTACCAAAGGCTGCGTGCTTTACAGTTTCCTTTGCATAAAAGAATGCGATGCATTATTTCCTTGACTTAAAAGTGAGCGTTAAACTATTTCCTTCGCGTAAGAGTGCGCATTGCAGTTTAATTCCAAAAACCTAAGCGCATGGCTGGTTTATGCTTTCTGCCTCCACATGGTTTACCCCTTTTCAGATTCCTTTCAGTTGGTCTGCAATTGCCCGATTGAGCACTTTCTGTACCCCTGAACTTGCCGATGAAAGGAGAAACTGATTGGTGACTGATGCAGATGTTTCAGAATATACATTTCAACAATTTGTATTTTGTGATGTTAACTTAAAAATGTATTCGACATTTCTTGACACAATGAGGAAAACTTAGGAGATATTTTTGAGAAAAGAATCATGTTTCCTGATTTAATTAATCAATTGAGGTTATAGGCTTCTTCTTTGCTGTCAGTGGTAAAATCTTCTCTCAGGGTAAAATCCCAAGCCAAATGAAAAATATCTGAAATTTTCATTCAACATACCTAAAACGTCCACTTCCATCGTATATGGACACTTGATTGATTCTACTCCCTATCCCAGAGTCACATTGGCTGACATGAAATTTCCTTTTTGATAATATTAATGCTACTGATAGTTTTCGGGGGCATGTCAAGTAATGAATTTTTGCAGATACAAAATAATAACGACGGTGAGTTTGTCAATAAGGACTCCAAGGATCTTGAGGCCCTGTTTCACACGGAAGTTCCATAAGCTAGTTCCGGTGGGAATGAAAACAAGAGACATTGGTAAAGAGGGCTACTAATTACCAAATCACTGCTGTAATTTGCGAGGAGATCACTACTCTGATAGAAGAAAAATGGCAGTTGGGCAAATCCAAAGGATGGCAATTCATCTACAAGTCCCGAGTGAAATGAAATTCTGTGCCACTAATTAATAATCAGAGAGAAGGATTTTATGCTGCAGCAAGAAACACGCAGGGTTGACGGAGGGATATTTCAAAGGATTGAAACAAAACAGCATCCTTAAGATCTTGCATCATATTGTATCAGAGGAGATTGACTCATCTGACCAACAATAACCTGAGCAACTCAAATTAGGTGTAACGATTTCTGTTTAGCAATAAGTATAAAATTAATTCCTACGAAAATGCATGGGTTGTGAAGTAGATTTTTTAATCAACAAATGATTGAGATGACTACAAGAAGTTCTTAATGACTAACGAACCTTCAAATCCTCCGGAAGAACGGTCTCGTTCAACAAATCCTCTGTATCTGTCATTTTTGAAGCTAAGGTACCTGAGCGATCAAGCGTTAATATGAACGCATAAATTTATCCTTCTGAAGTCGAAACACCGAGAGTAAAGACGCGAAATGCCTCGAAATCTTATATTAAACCTCACTTAGACTCTGTTTCCGTGTACGAGTCAGACAGTCAGATGATCAGATATAAGATAATGTGATCTAGTGAAGTGATGTGATAAGCCCAAAGACATAAAGACGGAGTGCTCGTATCTAAAAGCACGGGGAAAAAGTGAAGCTAGGTTCGGCGCTGCGCGTTTGTGTGAGTGTGTAAATGAGCGCGGGAATCCATGGCGGCAAACGGAAATTTGATTTGAACTTGTCCTCTTGATTTTTCCTTATTTCTTCTTCGAAACGTGTTTTAAATGCTTAAAACGATTA